ACCCAGCAACACTGGCAGGGTAAACTCCTATATACAAACAGGGAGCAAACCTCATACTTACCAGCATGGTGATGTTCTCTAATTGGATAACAAAATGTCTGCAAGCAAGCAAACAAGCTCAGAAGGCACCAAGGACGCCACAGTTCAACCCTGAGCTACAGATAGTCTCTTCTATTGGATAGGTGGATATAAACATTAGCACTTGGGAAAGTATATAAAGTATTCTAAATGGTTAAAGAGAAGTTTTCATCTTCAGACACAATGTCGGTAGAGCAATTTCTAATGCGTAGAGCAGCAAAACCTACAGTATTGGGAAAATATCTGTGGTTACCAGACAGAGTAAGCTCAAGTCAAGCAAAGAAGAGTGTATGCATGGTGATGATGATGTCCCTTTGTTAGTTCCATCTTATTGCTCTGGAGATGGATGGGATGGGCTGCAAGGAGATTGTCTGTACTCTTAGGCTGTGCTTGCCAGTTGCCCAGAGCTCAAAGCAAGAGATTGCTAAGGAGTAACCTGAGTGAGCAGCTGAAAGATCTGGATTCTTTCCAAGGGTTTTTTGTTTCTCCTTCTCCAGGGGCCTAGAGTCCTTAAGCTCTTGTGTCTACTGAAAACCTTGTTCCTAATGCCTCAAAGGTGCATTTTCCAGCTTGGGTTTTTTTCCTTTGAAAATGTTTCACTTCTCATCCAGGAAGGTTCTTCTGTACTAACAGTTCACCAGTTAAAACTGAAGAAACCTCTTGGATAAAGAGTGAAACATTTCCAAAGAAAATGAAAAAAAAAACCCCACAAGAAAGTCCAGTTGCCTTTTGGGAAAAGCACCTTTGGGACAATCAAGACTTGGATGATTGAGAATCTCCATAAACATCTTATTCCTAATCTTAGTGCCTTGTTCCTCTCAGAGCCAGGAGCCCAATTCTCAAGCTATCCATAATTGGATCACATTCCAGGTTCACACACTCACGCCTTCTGGTGCAGAACCTCTGCATTTGCAGCAGCTTCTTTTGACATGTATTTATTTACTTACTTAGTTACTTATTTGCTCATTTACTTATTTATTTCTAAACTTCTATGCTGCTCATCTCTAAGCGGCTTGACATCTGGGAATGAGCCTACAGAGATGGCAGTATTATTTGCTGCTGTTTCTCTGGCTTGTACCATCATGATATTGCAATGTGTCATGCAAGAGCCAAGGAAGTGGAAAGGAATAATTACATTCTCTCTTAGCTGATAGCTGTGTGTCCAGCTGATGTTCTCTTTGTTCCTGAGGACCTGTCTATTCTGGATGGAGAGTGTCTGCCCTTCTAGTTTGGCTCTGAGCTTTGTCTCACCTAAACCAGAGCCAAAACTATATTTGGATTATGAGAGACGGCCATTTGTTTTACTGAAAGATGTCCTAATATTTTGCAAATATGTGCAACATACTATAATTGGAAGGGGAGCCCAGGGTCTAAGGAGTTAGGCAGGCTTCCAGCTTGGTCTAGTTTTTTTTTTTGTTTAAGGCAATACTGGGACATGTTTTTCCTCTCCTTCCCCTGTAACAAAGAATTCATTGTTGTGGCACCCAGCCACCAACTGCCATTTCCTTCAGTCCTTGTGCATTGTTTGTGTCTTTGGCAAGTACACCTCAGAATTATCTCTGTGATTGTTGCTAAACCACAACTCCAACGCCAGCTAACTGCCTTTTCTTCTTCTTTGACGACAACACAGTATCTAAGCCAGAAAGAAATGAATTCTGCCTGCTGCTCTTATTTAATTTCTCAACAACCATGGTTGAGAATTAGAGCTGGCCTTGAGTGAAAGTTGTTGCATTGGGGGAATCTGAATTTTTAGAAAGGGAGAGGAGGCAGATCAAGAAGCAGCTATTTGGATCCTAAGTAGATGAGCACAAACAAGAGACTTTCTTCAGTTCTTGGACTGAGTACGTAATTTCCATTGTGTCATTGGTGAAGATTTATTGACAGAGGCTGGAGACTTGTGGAAACCAGTTGAACAACTGGGGCACCTTGGCTGAACTCTCACACGATGCTAAATGAGGATTACTGAAGAAGCCATAATGGCCTGGTTCACACTTTACTTTTAAACCCAAACAAAATGCAGCGCGCGTTGTCTTTCCCCACTGCTGAACTGACTTTTTTCTCTTCCTTTTCTTGACTTGTGGTAAATAATGGTGACCTAAAATGGTGGCTCCCAATGCAGCCTTGTAGCCTGCCTTTGAATCTGATTCCACTGCCAGATGACGCTGTCGGTCAGGGGGAAGGGTTTTATGACAAGCATTATGCTGTTGCAGTGCAAGTCCCATCCCTTTTGTATGTCTGTTGTGACATCATGCACACAAAAAGGGGACGTAGTTTACAGTATGTCAAGATTTTGGATCAGGTCCTGTGTATTCCTCTGTGCCCTGGTTAAATGCAAGTGGGGTGGGGGACTGCCTGTAGTATAATGTGTAAACCTGGGAACCGTGCTGGTTTCATAGCAACCAGGCTTTAACAGACCTCTTTGGCTACATCGCAGTTTTAATTGCTTTTGCAGCTTTGCAGCTTTCCATTAAGATACCATACTGAATTTTGCAGATTGTTTTGCAGAGTCTTGGGTTTGTGAGGGTGTTCTCCCCCCCCCCATCCAGTTAGCATTCAAGGATACACAGAGAAAAAGTTGCTTTAAAACCAGGTCAAGTCTCAATCTCAATGGAGAGTAATTGTCCTGCTGAGCAGTGGCTCTCCATGCAGAATTCTCCATCCTTTGCTCCTTCACTGTTTTCCTGGAAATGCCAGGAACGGCACCTGGATCCTCCAGCATGCAAAGCAGGTGCTGTACCACAAACTTACAGCTCTAGACTTCCTCTAATGACTTTCCAGGAGTTGAACTCCATCCAACGTTTGCGAAACAGCAAACTATTTCGCCACAATTTTTCTTTTTATTTAATTTGAAACTTTAGGTCCCAATGTCCATAAAACAATAAGGCAATCGGTTGAAAAGTGTCAAAAGTTAGATATCAGAAATTTGAATGAGATGAAAAAGAAGAGAAAAATATTAATGCTGTCCAGGAATACTAACTTTGCGAGGGCATAGAGGACGTTCAGGGGACGATTTAGGTTAGAACAGCATATCTGATAAAAGACTAGACACAGTTAAGCAAGAAAAAGTTTGGGGCAGGAACAAAGGATTTGGCATCTGCAGTTACTTAGATGACTGGAACGATCTCAGGGTTTATGGTGTATGTAAATGGCTCCAATTCTTAGATAAGGTTGGCTTATATTCATGAACCTTTTGAAATTTATTGGGGAAAGCAAAACACCACATTCAGAAACAAAATAATCTTCAGTGGTAGGTTCTGTCTTATCATTGAATTATTAAAGTGTCTTAACAATTATGTGGTTGAGTTTTAGAACTGCTGGCAGACAGGCATTTCTGGTCAAAATAGCCTTGGTAACAAAGCTGAAATCCAAATCTTTGGGCATGCAGGTCTTGTGAATGGTTTGCCAGGTATGAACACCTGCCCATCCCAAATCATTGTCCAACACCTTAGCCTTTTAGATGACCGCTATCAACCCCAAGAAAGCTTGGGAAAATAGATAGAAAGGAATATGTTGCTGCTACTGTTCCACAGGAGAATGCCATTCACTCACCTGTCACTGCATTAAAGCAGCTCTTCCTGTTCTCACTTTTGGGATACTCCATGAAGTGTGCAGTAAAAGCATGAATGGCACAGTGACAGCAAGGGGAGATTGTGCAAGGGAGAATTGTGCTTGGTCTACATTCCATGGCTCATGATATAGTTCTTCAGTTTGTGCGCTGCTCCAGATGTTTTCTATAAAATCTTAGAGAATGTTCTGCATGGAATTCCATGCATTTTTGGCACAGTTTATTAAATTGCAGTGACTCAGAAATTGGGTGTGATGGACATGTGAAATAGGAGAAACTATTTCATGTTAAATTGGGAGAATCCGGATTTGCTGCAAAGCTCACTGGATGATCTCAGTGATCTGTTTCACCACAGCTTCCTTTCCAGAGTTTCTATGAAAGTAACACAAAGGGCAGGAATAAAACCACCCTTGTTCCCTAGTTCTGCTTGAAGACAGTTGTGCTATAATAGAAAATGTAGCAAATCCCTGCATGAAGGCAGGAATAATAGCATTGGTGTTTCAGTCTGATCACTTGCCTATTGGGCGATTGAGAGGGAAAAATACTTGTGGTCGATACTACCTACATGGTTTTGCAATTCACGCCTACCTCTATAGCATGTAGGCCAGAGGCGGTGCTGGTACTATTTGCCTAACACAAAGTTGTGAAAGATTGCAATGGCACAGGGCACTCACTGAAAACCATACACATTGGGTCAGTTTTGGAGGGATCTAAGGATGTTTTAAGCAACTGGAAGGCACTCATTTGACCCCTTAACCCCTAATAGTCCCCATGTAAGGTATCTTGAGTCCCTGGATAAAAGTGTGCAGGGGAATACATCCATCCATCCATCATTCCATCCAATAAACCGTATAACAATGATTGCCTACCCAATCTGATGATGTCAAATATTATCTGTTCTGCTCCTTTAACCAATTCCTAAAGACAAAAGTGTTGTCCATTTTTGCCATATATTGGATATTGATCTGTGGAAGTAACTGCAGAGAAGGGTGCATTTCGTTATGTGTGGGTGGGTGTTTGCGTGTGTGGAGAGAGAGAGAGAGAAACAGAGAGAGAGAGACAGAGACAGAGACAGAGAGAGAGAGAAAGACAGAGAGAGACAGAGAGAGAGACAGAGAGAGACAGAGAGAGACAGAGAGAGAAAGAAGAGAGAGAGAATGGGATGACAGGATATATTTCTGTAGCAAAATTGGGAGATCCCAGAGGAAGCAATGATCCTTGTTTCAGCCTGTTGGTTAAGGGATATGCTAAGTACCGTAGTATTACAATGGGTTGTAGAAATCCTGCTAGAAGAAACAAAATGTATTCACTTCATTTTTCTTTGTTTGTTCTATTTCTCCTCCCCCCCCCCAGGTCTTTTACCAGAACCAGTGGCCAATGGTGATGTGGAAAAGGTAAAAAATTACTGCCAAGGACATGGTTCCTTGACAGATGTGTTAGAGCCAACATTCAACATTGCAGATTCCTCTGCTCCACATGTGTTGGTGGGGGTGGGGTGGGGTGGGAGGAGGATCAACAGATTACTGATCAACTCTTATGCCTTCTGAGTCTACATTGCTAGGAAATTTTAACTGGCCCTAATTTTCCAATACATTCACATCGGAGATAATACAGAAGCATTACGCATGCCAAGGTTGTCTTCAAATAATTGTAAGATAGTTTCTTTTTCCCTGTTTTTTTTAAAGAAAACATTCCCTGTACAAACTGCTCAGAGCACCCCTTGGCTGGCTGCCAGATCAAAAGAGTGGAATCTTCCTAAATTGGTAAAGGAAGGTGGGCTGTGAAATCACTGCTCTTGACGTTCCTGTAGAGAATAGCAGTCTGGGGAGAGGGGGGAGCTGATGCCTTGGAAGGCCCATCATTCATTTTGGAGCCTGCCTCTTGTCACCGAATAGAATGGCCCATTCTTCCACCCAATGGGTGGAATCTCACATCTTCTAAAAGGCCAAGTTACTTCCAGTCTGCTTTGAAAAAACAAAGCCTAATTAAAGTCTGAGAAGAAAGGAAACCTCATTAGGAACTTTTTTTTTTAAAGGGCTGGGCTTTTTTTTAAACCTTTGAATATACATTCAGAGACAGAATGAGGATGTTGCCAGACTATGGGTAAACAGTATAGATATGTCATTCAATGTCACTTTTTTCCCCTAGTTCAGTGATGGCGAACCTTTTAGAGACCGAGTGCGCAAAAACTGGCCCTGCCCCCGCTCCACCCCCCTGCCTCACCCCCACTCTGCCCCCCATCCCCCGCCCCACCTGCCCACAGGATCACTCACTGCCTCCAGGGCCTGCCGCAGATCGCCCAGGCAGCCCAGCAGCGCTATGGCAGCCACACCCTCTGCCCACGTCCTGCAGCATCAACTGCATGATGGGGTGTGAGGGCAGAGTCTTGTCTACGCTGCCTGGCTGCCATGTCCTTGGCTGCGCTGCTCCATATGGGCCACGCTTGAGGGCGACTCTCCTTCAGGGTTGCTGCTGGTGAGGAGGGGGTAGCGGGGGGAGACAAGGCTGGGGCAACGACACGTGTGCCCACAGAGAGGGCTCCGAGTGCTGCCTTTGGCACCCATGCCATAGGTTCGCCACCACTGCCCTAGTTGGTCTGAATGTTAATTGCAAACCAATATAGAAATAGTCACTGTTCTGCACCACCGTCTGCCTCCCATTTGCTGTAATGCAATAATCGCTTTCAGAATCATTTCATATACCTCTATAGAACTAATATAGAAGAATATTTATTTATATTTACATTCATTTATATATTTCTCACATTTTTGAACCAGCCATCTCACTCAGAGAGAGATTGTCTTGTTTTAAAAGATTCTGAAATACAAATATTCCTTGGGGCAATCTTTCAACAGAATTCAAGATTCAAGATCTTTCAGTCTTTCAGTTTTCCTCTTTCACAGCAATTTCTCTCCCAATTTGTCCAGCTCATCTCTTTCCCAGAATTTTCAAAGTTTAGCAAAACCTCAATACATGCATAGCATTTTACCAGAAACTGACTGGTTAAATTGTATACACAAGAGCACTATGAGAACACCCAACACAAGGCTGCTGCAAGGAGTTTTTAATTAACAATTTGCTTATCATTCAAATCTGGACAAATTACGGTTAGTTTTAACTATGTTTAGTGGAAACAAGCAAGCCTTTAGCCAGAAATTATCAAACTAGCTTGCTTTTTCTAATCATGATTCATACTTTAGAGTTTATGGCAGAATGACCAACTGTAATAAATAGGGGAAGCAGAAGAACTGGAAAAGGAGTGGCTCATTGCAGTAATACTTGGTCATGTTTAGCATCTGAATACAGTCATTGGTGTAAAAACAATTGGAAAAAAATGTTTTCCCAAATGGATAAAAACTTTATTGGTCCAAAGGCAAGCAACATGAAAGGGGAATCTGTTCTAACTTGTGAGGAAGAATTGTGCTGTTTCTGAAATCCATTCTGTTTCGCTTTCTAATTCTACATTGTTTCTAATGTCCTCAAAGTAATTGGTCAAAACAGAAAAGATAGCCCACACAGCTTCCTGGTCAAATAAAGAAACATTCCTCCTACTAAAAGTTCCCGGGGAAAGTGAAGATTTACTACTGCCCCCACAGCTCAGAATTCTGCAAGAAAAATTCTTTTGAATCAATTTGTTGCCCTTGTGTTGTATGTTAATAAGATTTTTTCTGGCCTTGTTGCCAGCAGGTCAGGAGAGAATTTAAATGAATCTTGATACAGCAAACAATGGTCTTGAGAAGAAAGAATGGACACAGTGTGTTTACTAGACTAGACAGACTGACGAGTCCCTTATGGGAAGCTAGTGTGGAATAGCAGTTAACAATTCAGCTGGGAAATAGGACTAGGAAATCATCATGATATTCCTCAAATCCTCATAAAGCAAAACAAAAAAGAATGGACTAGCAGTGGAACTGAACACATTTTATTGCAATGCTTTAAAGGAAAGCATTGCAATAAAATGTGTTCGGTTCCACTGCCTTTAATTTGAAATAATGCTATGCCTACTACTTAAAGAGCCTTCTTCTGCCATTAAGTTTCATTTTTTTCTTTTTTTACTTCTAGGGGAACCTTAGAGATGAACAATCAGAGATTAATCCTGAAAGCCCTTCTAGCCCTATGACCGTGTCTCCTTCTTCAACTCTAAGTGAACCTTCCATTGAGGTATGAACACAGTCTGGATGTAGTAGGCAAATGGGAGTGATGAGTGAGGTGGAGCGGTGTAGGTAAATATTCCTTCGACTATCTCAAAGACCAGAAGGATGCCTATGGTGCTATTTTGCAGTGATGGAGAAACCAAGTTCCAGTTCGTTTGGTAGAAGAAACATTTTTCTCTTAATAAGACAGCAATAGCAATAGCACTTATACTGCTCCATAGTGCTTTACAGCACTCTCTAAGCATTTTATAGGAGCAGCATATTTTCCCCCAACAATCTGGGCTTTCATTTTACCAACCTTGGAAAGATGGAAGGCTGAGTCATCCTTGACTCAGGATCAAACTCCTGGCAGTGAGCAGAGTCAGCCTGCAATACTGCATTCCAAACACTGTGCCACAATGGGTCGGTGATAACAAGTAAAACTTCTGCAGTTATTTTTTGTGGCTGCTTGGAAAGATTACATTACCCATACTTTTTTTTAAAAGAGATTTTATTAAATACTTCTACATTTTATTTGGTGAGAAATAGCTATTGGAGATTTGGTAACAGATTAGGAACTGTAAGATGTTCCTGCTGAAAACAATTGAAGGGAGGTGATTTGCTATTTGCATCTAATCCCAATTTAAGGATCTAATTGCATCCAGGGAGAGTTATTTCAGGGACAATAAAGTGAGGCCCCAAATTAGATAAGGTGTCAAACTGGAACTGTGGATCTCTACTTTTCTTTGAGAATAGTATGTTGCAAAAAAAGGGGGACTAATATCCCCTTTGGCCATAAAGAAAATCTGATATTAGGCAAGGTCACCCAAAGCCATTTCTGTATGTATCCAGTGGAAAATCCCAAATTTTAATACTGTGTGAGTGTGGCTTTTGTGGTCCCAAAAGTGGATGAGGCTGAATTCCGTGAAGGCCTAAAAGAGAGTTATTTAGCCTAGTCTTACAGGCTTTTTCTGCAGGCTCCCAAGGTGGATAGGATCCTTTTTGCAAATTATGGTGGTAGTGTGGCCTTGTAGAACCACTTTGGGCATGGCTGTGTGGCTTAAACACTGGACCAAACTGACTTTTACTTTGATTTCCTTTGATCAGCCTAAAGCTAACCTGTGCTTAAAGTAATTTTTTTTAAAAAAAACAAAAATTAACAATTTAATACCGATCAACAGATGTGTTTGCATGCTAAATGAAATATGAATTAGGGTGAATGAGAGAACGTTAACCACAATCTAGAATCATGGCTTATAGCAGGGGTCTTCAAACTTGGCCCTTTTATGACTTGTGGATTTCAACTCCCAGAATTCCTCAGCCAGCGTGCCTGGTTGAGGAATTCTGGGAGTTGAAGTCCACATGTCATAAAAGGGCCAAGTTTGAAGACCCCTGGCTTATAAGTCATGGCTGTGTGAACCCAGACAGGAAATTAAAGAACAATAACCCACCTCACTGCTCTCTGACTCTCTAGCCTGCGGTCACAGAGCAGGATAGCAGAAGGGACCCACAAGCCACAACTGCTTCTGCTGCAGTGTTTCCATTGTCACTTGGCTGCTTCTTTTTCTCATAGATTCACAATAAGTTCTGTAAAATAAAAAAAAAATGTTAAAGGTAACCTTTTTAAGGTTAACCTTTTCCCATCCTGCATCAGGCCAAAATATTCTAGGCCAGGGGTAGGCAACCTTGGCTCTTTTATGACTCGTGGACTTCAACTCCCAGAATTCCTGAGCCAGCATAGCTGGCTCAGGAATTCTGGGAGTTGAAGTCCACGAGTCATAAAAGAGCCAAGGTTGCCTACCCCTGTTCTAGGCCCTGTAATACCAACCGGGAGGAGACTAAAATAATCTGCCTGCTAGGTGCCTTCATAGACTTCACACTCGTGACTACAACAAACAATAGAGAGGTGGGTTGTGTAAATGCACCTAGTAATAAGTGCCTGGGCTTTGGGTCCTGCATAAGACAGGTGTTATTTCTGCAGAAGAGCTGATAACCGCTGGGTACTCTACTGTCTGTTTTTGCACCCTTTCGTTCTTACAGCTGTATTCTCACGAGAAGGAGGAGAAGCTCAGCACCACATCCAGTCCCATTCTTGACTGGGACATTCCCCTGGCAGTAGCCAAAGAGCGTGCCCATCAGAAACGTACCAGCAAACGGGCACCACAAATGGACTGGAGCAAGAAAAACGAACTCTTTAGCAACCTGTGAAGCAACCCAACCCCCCCAAGCAGGGAGGTGATGTAAGGGCAATGTTGGAAAATCTGGCCTCCCCTTAGCCCCCCCCCTTCCCCTTCCCCTAAGCATTCCTGCCCCCTAGATACATTTCTTTGCCCTTCTTCTCTTCCCTTCCCTTTGCTTGGAAGTGTAGATCTTGTCTTGCCCTGGGCCAGCTGAAAGGGCAAACATAGGGCCTGATTATTCTGCCGCACTATTTTGGAGAAGCAGTTGTTATTTAAAGAGGATGATGAGACATTTTCGCACACCCCTCTATATAAATAGCTTGAGCTAGCTTGTGGATGTGAATCCAGAATGAATTTGGTGTCTGTGTTGGATCTGTAGTAGAAGATACATCCATGCATCTATATATATATATAAAGAGAAGATATGCACAGGACAAGGATGTCATATGTCAGGTGCCATGCTGAAAAAGGGGGAACAGTGTGATGCATAGCTGTACTGTAGGTCCATTAACTCTTAGGATAGCTGAAGTTAAACATCTAAAACCATTAATCCCTGTAGATCTCAACTGGCTCTCTTCAGAGAAATTATGTTGGATGCTGATTGAACTATTCCAGACTATGTCATATCGGGACTATAGTCTAAGCTTGCATAGAGTACTTTAATTCCTAATTTGATTACAAACGAACATCCTTTTGTGAGGCAGTGCCTTGTCCTCTTTTCAAGGAACTGCTCTGCTGCGACTGGAGAGAAACATTTCTGATGCTCTATCGTCTTCTCTCTCTTTTTTTGGTAAAGACATTGCCACTGCAAGAAAGGGCTTGGTAGGCAAGACCCAATACTTCTTGCTTTGTGCTTTGGAGCTGTCAAAGAGTGGGAAGAGGAATCATTGAAAGCTATCGTAGCCTGTGAGATTTGCTTTCTTTTGGCCCGGGGATGTGGTAAGGAGTCGTACCTAATGCAGCAGTCGAAAGCACACAAGGATAATATATCCTGTGCTCAATTTACTCCAGAAATGGAGCCAATCAGGGTTTTCAATAATCATGATTAATTAACAACTTACTGATATAGTGTTTCATTTCTGGAATTGTTTTCTAATTATGGCTCATTTCCCTGTATCTGTGTATAGTATAAAAATCATTCCTCTTCCATAAGGTTTTGTTTTGTTTTTGTTTTCCTTGATTAATGTTTGATGTCAAGTGCAAAAGAATCTGTTTATTGGAACAAAATGCTGCCTTGATTTTGTGTGCTTATTTAAAATTAAGTGTTTTTTTTTTGTAAAGTCAGATACACAGGTCCCGATGTATGTGAAAGCTGAAGTCTGCGTAAGACTAGCCAATCTCTCAAGTCTTATAACTTAACTTATAACCTTAACTGGGGCATAGTGAGAGCTGTAAATCCAAGGCCAGCAGCTCACCCATGTAACACAAATATCACACGCACAATATTTTCCACTCTCCAAAACATGTCTCTGCATGTTGGACTGGATAATATATCAGACTTTGGGGAGATAGAAATCACCATCTTACCTGCAATTGTTTTCTTTTTTCCTGCCAAGTTAGGTGAGCAAAGCCATGTCAATACTTAACGAAAACAAAAAATAAAATTGACAAGGCAATAGGCAGGAGAAACGTGGCACCCTCATCGGCCCCTTTTTCAGCCTAGCTCTGTTCCTGGGACTGGAGAAATGCATGACAGGATCTGCTTTGCTTGAAATTAGTCAGCATGATCTATAAATTTGAAGGGATGTGTTTGTAGAATGAAGTCTTGTTAAAACAATCTACGCATTTAAGGCCGATGTGCCCCTCTTAGCCAGAAAGTTCAGGTAAGAATCTATGATGTTACATTCATAGGCATCAGGTGTTGCCAGTAAGAGTAGGGAAACAATTTGTCCACAAGACTGTCCAGCCGTATCATTTTCCTTGTATTGTTTGCTGCCAGTAAGTCCTTTGTGTGATATAATGTGATTATCTCAAGTAGTTCTCAAATCAACATGCCGGGCCTTGTACTTGGGAAACATTTTAAAACAGGCAATCAGGCAAAGGCCAAAGAAGATCAGGAAAGCAAAGGCTTTATTAAATGGCTCTCCCATCCTTCATTAAAACCCTCAAGGATCTTGCTTGATAAGGGTTAACCAATCTGATTTTGGTTTTTTTGGAAAATTATTAAAAATGATTGCATTAGAGCGGGAGAGAATAAATATCCAAGCTTAGGATAGATACAGACAGTTTACATTTGAATCCAAGGTGGATCCCAATTTAGGCACTGATCAGATTTAGGTTTGCTTGATTTCAAAGATGTTTTGAAGTATCACAAGGTTTTGGGAGTGCTTGGGGTTTGCTAACTTAATTATAAATTAGCTGACTGGTGGCATCCCATTGGCCTCAAAGGACTTTCTTGTGAGATGGTTGCCAGAGAAGCCAGGTTAATCTGTTGCTGCAAAAATAGCCAAGAGCCTTATGGAACCTTAAAAGTCAACATTTTTAATGCTTCTGAGAATTATTATTCATTTAATCAAATGCACGATAATAAACCCATCAGTTGCCTGATGAAGTGGACTGGAGTCCTTGGAAATTTATGGCATAATCAGTTGATTACATTAACATTAATCTACCAGTGGGGCCTCCAATAAAATGTGAAGGGCTTCTGGGGCACAGTTACTTTACTTAGCTTCCGTCCTGAACTCTCCATTTCAAAATATTTCCCTTTCTATTCCTGCTATTCAAGATTGTGAACAGTAAACAGGATCTGTCCTAGAGAGACTGTTTGAAGTATGTTTGCTTTTAGAGCTCTGACTTTTTCTCCTCCTGATGAAAACTGCTTTGCAATTTCTTTTCAGAGAGCCTTGAAAACCCACCATCTTTATGTGTTCATACAACATTAATATTGTGCCTGAAAGAGAAGCCAGCAGATCCAGCTTTGCGTGATATTGAGAATAGCTTGGGATGAAGTTTCTAATTACAGGTCAAACTGCTTTTGAAGGGCAAAGGGCAGGGCCCACTGATAGATGGGGATGAGGGTAGATCATGGAGCAACAGCAGATTCAAATCTTTGAAGAATTCCCAATGACACCTTAATAACTTTAAGCCAATAATCTCTTAGAAAGAGTCGCCCTATACTCATTAAAATCACCAAATTGTTTCTGCTTAACTAGGCCAGGCTTGATTGTCCAGCTTTTACCATCTGCTTGCCAGAGAGGGACAAGTTATCTGCCGGTCATCAGTTTGCCAATTATTTCAGTTTTATTGTAGGGCCAGAGCTGTCAGACAAATCTTAAACTCTGTAATAATATAAATGGTTTGGCCCATATCAAATCATCATTAGCATTTAATAGGCTGAAACCTGCTTTATAATTCCTCAGTGTACCAGGTTGTTCAGCTAATTCACGTGTTCTCTGAAAACTGTGTCATTTACAGCACAATCCTAGACAAATTTAATGACTGAATAAATCTCATTGTGTACAGTACAGCTTATTCTCAGATAAGTAGATATTAAACTCTCTGCCTTTGCTTAACAAATCCTGCCAGACTCCTAAGTGCAATGTCCAATGCAGTGGAAACTGATAACAACCTACCTACCATTTCTGTGAGTGAACTCCAGAGCATCGGGACTTTATTCATGCATCAATAATATATAAAGTGCAGTGCAAACAAGAACTACATCTAGAAACAGCTTTAGAAATGCTAGCCATATCCTGTTTGGAGGAGGGGAAAAACAGGTTTTGGGTTTTCACTGAAAGCCAGCGCATGGATGTTGGTTGTTTCTCTTAGAAAAGTCCTCATCCCATCATAGTAGGTTGCAATAAGGTGTGATTGTCAGAGCCACATCAATGTTTATTCCTCCTCCTTTCAGTCAGCATACGAATATGTCAGTGTGCTTATGCTGCCCTGATGACAAAACTCTAATCTACCTCAGTAAAGAAGCAAGTAATCCTGTCTGCGTAACTTAATTATTTGACCATTTTTAAGGGTAGCGCCCCTATCCAGTGTGTGTGTGTGTGTGGTGTTGTGTGTGTGCACGCACGGAAGAGGGGAGATAGGTGTCCATGAGATGGAAGCTCTAGTTTCTGAGGTGCTTCACCCCAGTAAGTTCTCACTTAGATTTTTTTTCTGAGGGCAAATCTGTTGATCTTCTGGAAAGAAGAATAAACAAGTGTACCAATCTTCTGAAAGGCTGGTAAATCTCTGTCCAAATGTAGTCCACATTTGGAGGAGGGTTGCAGGATGAAGTAGGAGGCAGCTCACATTTCATTTGAAGAGAATTTCCCCCCTACACACACACTTTGTCCTGTCAGCTGTGCAGAGTTTTACCAGTCCTCTAGCAAACTAGCAGACCTGTTCTTTCTTTCTATCATTGGAGCTGGAAGATCTTAGTCAATTTTATCCTAGCTTCCAAATATCCAAAAGTGATACATGCTCCAAGGTAGCAAAACAAGGAAGAAAGAACAAAGTTGTCTCAACAGAAATCAACTTTCTCTTACAACTGATGCTAAAATTCCAATTCTGTTCTGTTCTAAAAATGGTGGGAGAGACAGGATTATGCTTGCAGCAATCTCACCTAATGAACAGGAGTTCAGCAGAATCCAGTCCCTGATTATGTCATCATCAGGATTATGATTGAGAAGTTACACATCATTTGTGCACCAAGCCTTGTGTGGGGAGAAGAAGAAAACACTGCTGTTTTGGAATATAAATGGCTGTACCCACAGTGAACTGGGGATGATATGGAGGCTACATCCTCTAAATTTGATTAGTGGCTCCAATCATTGTTGGAAATAAGGAAAACATGAAGGATCATTTAACCATGCATGGTGTGCAAAAAACTAGATACAAACATACATGATAGAATGTTAAAGATTAATATTAACCTGAACTTTTTAAAACTGGGACTTATGGATAGCCAGTTAGAAAAGACCTACAGAAGATTGGTTTTGAATATGATAATTGCAGCAAAACTATTGCATGCAACAAAGATGGAAAAATACTGAAACACCCACAATACAGGTGAAAATGATGCAATTAGCAGAAATAGCAAAATTGAGCTGTTTGATCGCATGTACTTTTGTTAAAGATTTGAAAGCTTTTATGGACCTCTTGCTGAGAATTGGGGAAAAATGAAATGATTTGGTGATTTATGGATTTGTTGATTAAAAAGGACTGAATAATGGGAAGAAGAGAAATATGATGTAATTTCAAAGAGGGAGGTGTGAATGTGTATTTGACTGTAAATTCTGTAAAGAGGATCAGGAGTGGCTTCTTTGCAACTTTTCTTGTTTCTATCTTATACTTTTTTCACTTTATCTCTTTTTTTTGTTTAAATTTCATCTTATCTTTTATATCTGAGAAAATGTTTTAATATTATTATTTTAAATGGGCTTAGATGGGTATCTCCGTGCCATGATTATCAGGATGTGTGGAGAACTTAAGACTTCTATATGCCTGAATATGAGTGCAGTGAGCTGTGGTTACAACCTGAAGCCTGCTTTGTTAACGTTCAGAGTCGAGCAAGCATAAAGTAAAACTCCCTCTAGAGCTGCCACTTGAAGAAAGAGGTTGGAAAGAGCTGCACTTATGCAGGCCTGTTCTCACCCCAGTTGGAGCTCTCCAAACACTCAGCTGAGCATTGGTGATGAATATGAAACAGCCATAACTATAGCCACAACTGTTGCCTTTTCTCCCTCCTTCGTAGCTGATTCCTAAATAATTCTTGTCTCCATTGTACCTCTGAACGTATGCATTGACTAGTCTGGAATTAGAAACACAAATTTCCATATTATTAAAAAAATTACTCTTAAGGTAAAAGTTGATCTTCTTGACACGTTGGATTCAATATTTGTTGCAATCAGCATAAATTTTTCATTAAGGGTAAAATTGAAGGTCAGACCTTATGGTTAAGTTGTTAAGTACAGCTGATTTTGTACACTAGAATCAAATCTTGTCTGAGAACATGATATTTATTTACAGAATAACAGAATTGGAAGGGACCTTAGAGGTCTTCTAGTCCAATCCTCTGCTCAAGGGGACCATATATGATTTCAGACAAGTGGTTGTCCAGTCCCCTTAAAAGCTTCCAATGATGAAGCACCCATAACTTCTGAAGGAAAGCTGTTCCACTGGTTAATTGTTCTCACGGTTAGGAAATGTCTCCTCAGTTCTAGGTTGATTCTCTCCTTGATTAGTTTCTATCCATTGTTTCTTGTCTTGCCTTCTGATGCTTTGGAAAATAGGTTAATCCCATTCTTCTTTGTGGTAGCCCCTCAAATTGAACTAAATTATACATTGGATGGGTAAGAAGCTTGAAGCTATCTCCATGGTGTTCTGTTTTCCCTTCCTCATTTGCTTCTTCAGCAAGTGTAGGCCCTGAACCTACCAGCACCTAAAATGTTAATTTGTGTCTCCAGCATGAGTTATAGAGTTTCCATCACAAGATTAAGACTGGATCTACAAAGACATCTTTGCCCATGAGGCACCGAGGCTAGCAGTTATCCAAATCTAGTTGTGGTTCAGTGAACATGTGCTGCATCTCCTGGTTTATCAGCATGACCTTAAGCCTCATATGAAGCTCAGGAGTACAATTTAAAAAGAAGTACATTGTGTCAGAAAAATCACACATGCTTTCTTTCCTCAAATGTGCTGAAGGATTCTCATTACTGCCAATGTTCTTTATTTCCATGCTCCTTCCATCTTTGAATTATATGTCCTACCCGTGACACATGGCAACATCTAACAGACCTTGTTGGGGATCAAAATCTAAGCAAATTTTGGCCTGGATGTGAGAAACTCAGGAAATACCAAAGCTATAGGCTAAACTAGGAAACTAACAGATCATCCTCCAAAGGAAAGCAATGACAAACCGCTTCTGTGTTGTTGTCAATAAAATTACAATGATTCAGCCATATATTCAGATTTGAGTCAAACTAGCCTTTCCATTCACAATTTCTGCACAGGAATGAAATCAGAACATCCTTTGATTATTTGTATCTGGGCACTAGAAACGAATTTAGTTTTAAAATATTCACTGATGTCCAGTTGATAGTTCTTCTCTATCTCCCACACTTCTTAACCAAACTAGCTTCTGACCATCTCTTTTACAAATAACCCTGTCTTGACTTTGAGTATTGGCATTTCTCTTTTTGTATTTCTTTCTCCACAGTGCAACCTTCCATTCATTTCACAATGATATGTCTTTTTCCTACTCCTCCTCTCCAAAGAAGAGGAGGGCAAAACTGATTCCATTAATAAAAGTAGAGTAGCAAAATAGCATTTGACCCAAACACACACACCCCAAACAAGCAGAAACATAGAAAAGAAATAGTATCGAGAGCATAAATTAGGGTGTGCAATCATGTGCCACTTGAATTATCAGGATGTGATAGTGCTGGGGTAAAATAATCTCCATTCATACACACACAAACACACACACACCCTTAAGCATGCTTTAATGTGGGGCATAGTTAGGTTGAGGTTAATCCGCACCTCCCCTGAACATTGTATTAATTTAGATAGAAATAAATTCAGCTCATATCCTAAGTAGGTAAGGTTGTGAGAAGAATCTCGTGGCTTTTTCCTCATGCACGTGATTGGCTGCCATCTATCTTGCTTCTGCCTCTATGAAAAGAAGAATAGAATAATAACTTTATTGCCACTTTGAATGTACACTAATCGGCATTCATTAAAATGAAATTTTGTTGCATACAGCTCTCAAAGGGTCACCACCTCTGATATACACTACATAAATACAGAGAAACAACAGTCTAGTTCGGATTATGTATACATGTGCATGGCGAAAAAAATGAATCCTGCAAGTTTACCAGATGGATGGCATAGGGAACAAAGCTATTACAGAATCAGGTAGTCCTGCTACAAATACTTCAAAACCTCCTCCCAGAGGGGAGCAATAGAAACAGACCATAAAGTGGGTGTGTGGGGTTTCTAACAATGCTTTCAGCTCTAAGCACATAGTGCTTATAAGCAGCATTCTGAATACCAGGGAGCGAGCTTCCTATGATCTTCTCAGCTGTCCTTACCATTCTCTGTATGGACTTTCTATCTGAGGCAGTGTTGCCACCAAACCAGACATTGATGCAGTTTGTTAAAATGCTCTCAATCGTGCCTCTGTAAAAAGTGGCCAGGACAGAAGGAAAAAGTTATGCTCTTCTCATCTGATGCAGGAAATGCAGATGCTGGTTTGCACGCTTCACTAAGGATGACGTGTCGAGAGACCAGTTCAGATTGTTAGTTATCTGCACCCCCAGATACTTAATACTGCTGACCACCTCTACAGCTGCATCCTTGATACTGAGTGGAGTATGACTATGCTGGCTATGCCCTAACCATAAAAATAAATGATATTGTTGAAGAAAAAGTCTTTATCATGGTTCAGTCCAAGCTGGGAATAAACAACATGATGACTGCTTTAGAAAGAAGGTTGCAGTTTATTGAAGAGGAGAGCCAGACAGAAAGATGGCTCTGGAAGAAAAGAGAGCGAGCACATGTAGGGAGTGGATTTTTATACCTTCTTGAGCCTTTTGTTTGGAGTTGTTCCTGTGGCATGAACTTTGACCTGAGTCTGAGTGTGCCTTTCTGGTATTCTGATGGTGGTGAGTTAATCCTATTATGTCCCAAAGGTCAATCCTGCTTCCCTGTGGCTGTGGCTGATGACTCTTAGATTTTTGGTGTGAGGGATTGTTGATTCTAGGGATCTTTCTTCCTAATCCCAGTTTCCTGACCCCAGTCTTTCTCACAAGATTATCACATCTGCAATTGTACAGACTTGTTTTCTGTTTGGGACAGAGAGACTTGTGGGCGGGCTTGGTTTCTGCTTTTAAAATCATTTAGGGAAATATATTCTGCCTTTTAAATATTTCCAAAAATATTTCTTTCTCTGGGGGGGGTGACTTCCCACAATATTATTTTAGAAATCTTTTGCACATAGGCAAAAATGTTTAAACAAATGAAATCACTGAAGAAACAATTCCTCTGTCAAGTTGCTCCTGAAATCAGAAGCTAAATTCAGGATGAGATCAGTTGGGAGAGTAATGTGAGAAAGAAGCTAGAATAGCAACTCCATCCTTTCAAGGATATGAGGAAGGCTGCTGTTCAAACAATTTAGTTTTTCTACTCTCCATTCAGCAGAGTTACAATAGCACATTTTGTAAACTGCAAATCATCCTTCAAGTGAGGAGAGAGGGTTTAACAACTTCATTTTCAAATACTCTACAGACCCAAATTGCATCTTGCTCCATGGCTGCCCTCTTGCGGTCATTTCTGGGCACACGGGACGATGCATACAATTTGCTGCTCTACTGGCTTCAAGCAGGTCACTCAGCTAGATCCTAAAGATATATAGATATAGTTATAGATATAGATATATAGATCCTATTGGGAATCATGGGTGAGACTCAGTAATACCCAGCAAACTTAAGTTGTAAATTCATTCTTTCTTGATTGCATGTTCTTTAAGACACAAATGGCTTTGCAGCCTCAACAGATGTGAAGATTGCTGAACCAGAGAGATCCTTCAATTTGGAAGATTTGGGAAGATCCGTTTTCCTCACCCCTGCTGTCAAGTATGGATCTGTGGAATTATGTGATCTGAAATTATGGATTGCAAATCTCCAGAACATTGTCAGTTCATCAGTACAGATTCTGGAAATACTATGCATCTGATGCAATGAGCACAAAATTATGATTTTTAATAAAAATTTAGTTGGAAAAAATGCAACCAGTCTCCTCCTGATTTTTGGAAATAAGAAAAAAGTCTAAGTAGGTTGAAGAGAAGCAAGATAGGATTGCAACTTTTTTCTGCAAGATGATATTTTTGGGGGAAATCTCTTGGGGATTATGCAGGAGGTAAAACTAAAAGAAATGGCGTTAGCTAGAGCCAAAAGTAGATGCAAATAATTACAGTATTCTTACTTTGATTAATGGATTTTATTGAATTCTACATTTATATGCTATTCCTTGCAACGGCTCCAGGTGGTTTATTTTAAACCAATTTAAAATTACTGAAAGCAGCAGTGAAACTAAAAACTTTAAAAAAAAAACCCCACATAATTCTAGCAAAAAAGGTAGGTGTTAAACTCCCCCCCACACACACACTTCTAAACCACAGACAAGAAGGGGCCTGACTCAACTACAAAAGCAATTTATTCCAATTTTTTAATGTCTGTTCTTCAGGCTGCAGAGAAAGGAAGCCAGCAGCTCTTATCAGAAGCTTATCAGTTCTCCCACATAAATATGTCACTCTTGCTTTCTAGGGAACGGATTCTTAGCAATATATACTATCTTTTTACCCAAGTTAGCTCTGTAGCTGGACATTTCATCTTGGTGGCAAACTACTTTATGAGACTTAAAAGTCTCTTCTCTTCTCGTCTTCTCATCTGGGAAGAACAGTTAGAGATTTGCTGCTGATGTGCAATGTTATGGATTCAGGTGAGAAAAGACAATAGCCCTTCAGCAGATCCTGGGATTAAAGAAAGTCACTTCTTCAAAACGGTTTTAGATCAGCTACTGGAAGTGTATTTCCAGGGCAAACAAGATTTGAAGCTTTCTTCTTTGTGGTTAAAAACTGAACTGTTCCTTCCTATCATCTCCAAGCCATGAAGAAAGTGATCAAGGTCCATGTGTACAGTTGAAAAATGATGAAAAATTATACAGTATACAATCACATGCAAAATTTAAATAAAGCACTTTGCCTGCAGGTCCCCCCAGATCATGCTGGCTGCTATGAGGGGGTTTTGAGTCATTCGTTTTCCAAGAACAAGCATTCAGAAAGGAGAGTTTTATAGTAATACAGTTTTTTTTTAAAAAAAAAACTGGAGCACTCATATTTTATTTTTTTTGCCAAGTTGTGACAGTAACTAACAGAAAAATAGGGGGGGAGAAAGGCTACAATTTTTTAAGGACAGAATTATTGCTGGATACATCTGGTTTTACTCCTTGATTGGCTTTAATATGCTTTATATTGCATATTTCAATATTTACGTATATGCCATCTTAATGAAAAGTACACTAGCAGAATCAATGTGATCCCGTTTGTTCAGAAGTAAATTTCTTTGCATTTGAAGAGCTTATTTATACTGCAATTATACAAAGTATTTACAGCACAGAAAATGTCAAACAAATTGAATTTTTCACTTACAAGGTAACTGTTTATAGATCAGGGGTGGCGAACCTATGGCATGGGTGCCAGAGGCGGCACTCAGAGCCCTCTCTGTGGGCACATGCGCCGTCGCCCCAGTCCTAGGCCTTCAGCTGGGTTTTATAAAACCTTTTCGTTTTAGGCCTCCGCTGCCATGTGCAAAAAAAAAAAGGTTCAATCAATCAGTCAATTTCAACTTCTCGCGGGGAAAAAAAAGATCTTGCAAAGTTGGAATTGATTGATTGAACTTTTTGGTCCTACCCAGTCTGCCGTTACCACCGTAGCCACACCCACCCAATGGGCCACACCCACCCGGCACCCGACGATGCATAAGTGGGTTTTGGGTTGCAATTTGGGCACTCGGTCTCTAAAAGGTTCGCCATCGCTGTTATAGATAGTTCTCAACTTGCAATGGGTTGCTTAACACTTATTCAAAGTTACAACGCCCCCCCCCTCAAGCTACTTATAATTTGCTTTCAAAGTTATGATGGCTACATAAACCCAGTGGTGAGATTCAAATATGTGAACAACCAGTTCTCCGGGTGGATGCCACTTCTGGAAGTTCATTCTGGGCCTGGGTAACAAAAAAATAGCTAACGGTTGTGCCGAAGTGCTGCGAACCGGCTGAATCCCACCATTGCATAAACCCCTGCAGTCACATGATCGCATTTTAGACGTTTGGCAACCACCTCATTTTTACAGACGTTTGTAGCATCCTGTGGTCACCTGACCGTGATTTATGACATTTTTTTGCTGATTTACAACATTTACTTCCAGTTTATGACAAAAAAAATGCCTATTGGGCGAAATGGATTCACTTAACAACTGCAGCATTCACTTAATGACAGTGGCATTCGCTTACTGACCCCTGCAAAAACTGTCAAAAAAAATCGAGTCTGGTCTTGTGATATCTTGACTTATGACTGCAATGACTTATGACCGTAATTCCAGGCTCATTTACAGCCTTAAATCGAGGACTACCTATATTATCACAACAGGTACTATAGTACTTTTCATGTGGGTTACCTTGGTAACACCCCAGAGTAGCAGAAAACAAAAAGAAAGCAAAAGGGAACCACAATTTGCATATGTTTTGCAAATGGAAATCAATCGGCTTAAAGGGAAATTTAGAAATGCTAATATTAAAATAGCAACATTTCTCCCTCTGGGAAGGATGAGGTCAGATGACCTGTATGTCAACTTCTCCAGATGTTCTGGCCCAGGTCCAGATGCTGAATGTTGCTAGGCAACATCATCACCTGTATCCTTCCTTATTTATATTTCAGCTGGATCCGGCTCAGGCAGCTGTTCAAACAGAATAGGGCAAGGTGCCATTTTCCTGCCCTTTGAATGGCACACGGGAAGCCTCATTCTGTTTAGAAAGTGAGATTACTTCAAAATGGGGTTTCAGCTGGGGAGTCTAAAATAGAGCTGATGGTCAGAGGGAAATAACCATTGAGCCTTCTGGAAGACCATAGGAGACCTTTTGGTGAAGGAGTAATGTCACTGGAAAGAAAGTGGCCAAAATTTTTCAGCCTTAGGCACAAAGCCAGCAGGGTGACCTTGGGCCAGCCATTTTCTCTCAGCTCTAGGCAGACCACTTCCGCAATGGCAGACCACTTCTGACAAAAACTTCTGGCGAAGAAAACTGCAGGGACTTGTCCAGGCAGTCTCAGAGAACCAGACACAATTCAGCAAAAGGGGTTGGGGTGGGGGGAGAAGCCTATACTCAGATAGATGGCAGCACCTAGCCAACGTTGGCTGGTTTCCATTTGATTAGTATTTGGATACCCTAAGAAAATATCACGTGTAGCCAGAGTGGGGAATTGAAAAATGATACCCTGGAAAAAAGCATATTATAGTTTCCCATGACAATTTAATGGGCAGTTCTAATTGAAATGGAGTTCCACAATCCTTCTAAAGCATTTTAAAGTTATTATCTTCACTCCTGCATTCTCTGGGTTCTCCCAAGCACCCCCCCTCCTCCTCCTCCTCCTTCTTTCCATCTTTAGCTTCAGCACTAAAGCAATTGTGCTCAGTATATGTAAGTGCTAAACTCCAGTGGCTCAGTAACTTATTATACAAAATTGTTTCTTCTTGTATAACTAATTTTGCTGACTTGATGGATGTTACATTTTTGCCTTTGGATGAGAGAAGATACAGTATTTGAGTAGCCAGACTTGCCAGTAACTACTCCTTTGTGGAAGGAGGGAGGGAGGAAGGAAGGAAGGGAAAAAATATAATAATAATAATAATAATAATAATAATAATAATAATAATAATAATAATAATAATAATAATAATAATAATAATAATAATAATAATAATAATAATAATTTTCTAGGTCCCTTTATGGTTATATGAATTAGGTATGGCCTAATTCATAATAGCAACCAAAAACCTAACTCCTTTCATTGACCAGTGGTTTGCCTCATTTTCTGTCCTTTTTTTTAGGAAGGGTTGAGTTGTATGCCACTGATTACGGTAAATAAGCAGTGTGGCAAAGCAAACAATATATAGCTTAGCTTTCCTCTATTTTATTAGGAATGTCTGTGGGGAACGCCTTTAGATTTGCAAAAGCAGAAGAACTTCCTTGTCTCTGGGCTTAAATACACTTTGCTACATCCTTATTTACAAAGGTTTGCCAGTTGCTTTTGCCACTGTATGAATATGCATAATCAATAAGAATCAAACTCTCTTCGGCTTTGAAGTCTTTGAAATATCTATGAATAGAAATAGAAAGTATAGAGCATGAATCTGTGTAAGATGCAAGGAGTCAAAGGTAAATATCATAGGTTGTATTTCTAACACAGTGATTACCCAAATTTATTTGTCATTCTGTTGCTTTGTTACTCCCTAAATGTTCTATATTGATAAGGGTCTGGGTAAAATTAGGCATCACTTTATGCAGGTAAAATTGAGAGTCCATTTTTGTCAGAGGTCTGAAGAACTGCTTTTAGAACGATGGTCTCTTAATGTTTATTCTCTCAGCTGTGCAGAGAGATGAACCTCTTCTTAAATCACTCCTGCTGGTTTTCTCTTCCTTTCTTGGAAAAGAACAATAGCTGTGGAAAGTCAGGCTCCATGGGAACAATAACAAACTTTATTAAACAATGTTTGGGAGGCCTAAATAAAGGCTTAGTAAGAACACCTGAATGCCAGCTATTAGAAAGGATAGGAGCAGGGATCTTAAGTCATTTATATTAGTGTAAGGATTTATGGGGACATAGAAATAAGTAGATAAAACCTGGTTTGGAGTTGTCATAGCAACTTTTTTTAGCTGCTTATGGAACAGCTTCCCATTGTTGCTGGGATCACTGGGAATGTTAGGCAGAGGACTCTTCTCTTTCTAAAGGACAAATGGCAACATGGTAATTAATGGTCTGTTTTGCTTTCTTTTTACAACCTCTGGTTTGCAGTTCTAATATGCACTGTGCTTGTATCTAATGCAAATGGAAGAATGAATGAGTTTCTTCAAGCTCCTGGCTCTGCGAATGGGTTTATAGACTTGGGATGTTGCTGGATTAACATGGGCTATTTCATGTG